AAGCCACAGCAGAGATCGACCACTATAGATTACAGAGGGAGAGGGAATTCAGGCACAAACAATCTAATGTAAGTAAGAAGCTCACATATATATTTTACACCAGGTCTGATACAATATCCATGAAAAACAAAAGAAAAGGAGGGAGAAAACAATTCAATAAACGTTGTATTAGTGTACTGTACACAAAGGATCTACAGTAATGACCTATCAGCTGGCCAACAAGTTGTAATGACAAAATTAACTGAAAATCTTAGTGATGGGGCTGAGGACTGCAAAATTAGGCTCTATTCACAGGCTTCAGGGACTATTTGATCTAAACTTTAGTAAGGCATTTGATACAGTACCACATGGGGAATTATTGGTTAAATTGGAAAAGATAGGGATTAATATGAAAGTTGAGAGGTGGATAAGCAACTGGTTAAAGGGGAGACTACAGCGGGTCATACTGAAAGGTGAACTGTCAGGTTGGAGAAAGGTTACTAGCAGAGTTCCTCAGGGATCAGTTTTGGGGCCAATTTTATTTAATCTTTTTATTGCTGATCTTGGCACCAAAAGTGGAAGTGTCCTAATAAAATTTGCGGATGATACAAAGTTGGGAGCTATTGCCAATTCAGAAAAGGATCGGGATATCATACAGGAAGATCTGGATGATCTTGTAAATTGGAGTGATAGCAATAGGATGAAATTTAATAGTGAGAAGTGTAAGGTTATGGGATTAATAACAAGAATAACATTTAGGGATTAATAACAAGAATTTTAGTTATAAGCTGGGGACATATCAGTTGGAAGTAACGGAGGAGGAGAAGGACCTCGGAATCCTGGTTGATTATAGAATGACTATGAGCCGCCATTATGACATGGCCGTGAAAAAGGCTAATACGATCTTGGGATGTATTAGGCGAGGTATTTCCAGTAGGGATAAGGAGGTGTTAGTGCCATTATACAAGGCATTGGTGAGACCCCATTTGGAATACTGTGTGCAGTTCTGGTCTCCCATGTTTAAGAAGGATGAATTCAAACTGGAACAGGTACAAAGAAGGGCCACTAGGATAATCTGAGGAATGGAAAACCTGTCTTATGAAAGGAGACTCAAGGAGCTTGGCTTGTTTACTTTAACCAAAAGAAGGCTGAGGGGGGACATGATTGCACTGTTTAAATATATTAGAGGGATAAATACCAGGGAGGGAGAGGAATTATTTAAGTTTAATACCAATGGGGACACAAGAACAAATGGATATAAGCTGGCTAGTAGGAAGTTTTGACTTGAGATTTGACGAAGGTTTCTAACCATTAGAGGAGTGAAGTTCTGGAATGGCCTTCCAAGGGAAGTAGTGGGGGCAAAAGATCTATCTGGTTTCAAGATTAAACTAGATGGGTTTATGAAGGGGATGGTTTGATGAGATAACATGATCTTGGTAACTAATTGACCATTCATTATCAGTGGGAAATAGGTCAATGGAGGGATGATAGGAATTACTATAGAGAACTTTCTGGGTGTCTGGCTGATGAGTCTTGCCCACATGCTCAGGGTTTAGCTGATCACTATATTTGGGGTCGGGAAGGAATTTTCCTCCAGGGTAGATTGGCAGAGGCCCTGGAGGTTTTTCGCCTTCCTCTGTAGCATGGGGTACAGATCACAGCTAGAGGATTCTCTGCATCTTGGGGTCTTCAAAGTATTTGAAGGCTTCAATATCTGAGATATAGGTGAGAGGATTATTCTAGGGGCGGGTGGGTGAGATTCTGTGGCCTGCACTGTGCAGGGGGTCAGACTAGATGATCATAATGGTCCCTTCTGACCTTAAAGTCTATGAGTCTATGAGTAAACCTAATTAAAATTCAGGATGTTTGAGATGCTGGGTTATCTTTGGGCTCATCTCTTGGGAAATATTTTTAATGCACATTTTTTTTTTAATAAAACCTTTGTTTTCATGCTAGGCAGATTTTCGGTTAACATAAGGGCAGAAGCAGGAGTATGGTACAAGTTTTGGTTGCTAACTAATATATGAAGAGTTGAGCTGCAGAGACTCAGAGCTTACTGATGTCAACGGGGATCTTTCTACTGACTTCAGAAGGCTTTGGGTCAGGCCCTTTTTAAAAGCTGTTGAATGTATTCATTTACAGTGTTAGACAAATTTTACAGAAAAGAAACCTTCTTTTGGTAAAAAAAAAAAAATGCAGAGATTCCGCAAAACCACAGTGCTGTACAAGTTTGTGTTTATGTCAAAATCTGGTTGCAAACCACCACCACCACCCCGGAATTCTGATGAAATGGACATTTTATTTTGGAAAATTTTTGGTTTTAAATGACTTCTCATTGCAAATGTTCCTTAATTTGCTTATATATAAAACATTTAAAAAGATCTTTCTTTCAACTTTTTGATTCACAAAAATGTTCAAAATTTTTCACTTTTTAGTCCAACTCAAACAACTAATTTTTTTAAATGATCAGTAAACAGAAAAATCTATTTGCCTAGTTCTGATCATTTAGTCTTATTTTCTAACTATGCACACAGCAACATCTGTTCAAAAATGATTTTTATGACATTTTCAGAATAAAAGTCATCTGGCTGGCATATTTGCCATTTGCTTTGCTGTTTTCATGAGGTGTATCACAAACTATTCTCTTTTCTTTACTAAACTTCCTTTTCGTCTGACATGGATAGAAAAGCAGCCGGCAGCAGAGTAGGAAGTCAAATGTATCAGTTTGTTACTTCAGCCACAATTTATATAAAACATGGTTTTCAAACACACATAAATATAATCAACACCCCTAATACTGCAGGCAGATTTGTCTTACACATGCTATTTCATATTTTTACATCTGATTTTAAAAAAAGGAAGTATCTTTCAGATATGATCATCTTTGCATCCAAACCAGAAAGGGAAATCTGTGGTGGGGTGTCTCAAACAGCAAAGGAGAAGACAATTTCTCTGTGCATCACTTGGAATGCAATCCACTCATTACACCCACAATTTGCACACAGTTAAAGCTGTCGATCGTTGATTGAAGCAGTTTACACAAGATGACAGGAGCATGTACAGCTCTTTCCATGCCAGTGTGTTGTACAGTGCTCCTTCACTTTCCCAGACCCCATGGTATTGGATATTTGTCATTCTTAGAAGAATGACACCATTATTAACCGAAGCCTGGAGGGCAGTAAGAAGGTGAGTGCCAGAGCAGTGGTCCCTATCTAGTTCATTGTGCAAGTTCATGTATCTCTATGAAAACATTTGCAATTCCACAGTAATTACAGCCACATTTTAAAGTTACTGTTGTACTTAGCATCTTGAATGTGGTCCATTAGAGACATGTTGGACAAAATTATGTGCTGACTCACACCCCAGCCACAATATATCAGACCATAATAAACAATAACAATAAACAACTAGTAGTGTTGAGTAAAAGTAGTGTTGAGAAAGATCCACTTTAGTAATGTGCAAAATTTGAGCACAGATCTGGATCCAAAATTTGCCAAACTAATGAAATCAACTCCCTCCCCTAGATAATAATTTTATGGTGTAGCAAGTTCATTTCTGAATGTTGAGACTATCTCTCATAGAAAAATAATAGTATAGCCCTTCCATATCGAGATCCCAAAGAGCTTTATAAACATTAATGAATTAAGCCTAAGAAAGTGCATAATTTACCAGGATAATTGAAACTTAAATGAACAGTTTGCAGAACATCATTAACATAGGGCACCTACTTATGAAGACACAAGGCCTGATGCTGATCTCATTCATACCAGATGTAAGGTTAGGAGCAACACCATATGAGAGTCATTGGTCTGACACTGGTATAAAATCCTCAAAGTCAAAACAGATCATGACTCAAATACAGCATTGAATGAAGTTCAATACTATGAAGGGTTTGGAACTCAGTGGTAGTAAACAAGGAAAAAATCCAGGCACAAGTTCAATCACTAATCAGCTTAAAATTACTATATTTTTCCCTATGGTATGAATTAATGGGAAGAGGTCCCTGGTATAGAGGAGGCTCTGCCTAAGGGCATAGTAACTTTCTTGAAGAATTTTCCATATGGTTGGTTTAGAGATAACATATAGCAACCCTGAGTTTGCAGAAAGTTCTCTCCATGGAAGATGGCTCCCTGTGTGGAAGGGATTGGATCTTTCCCAAGTAAGGCCCTCAGACCTTGACCCAAAGTTAATATTTTAACTAGCATTAGCTCTATCTCCATAAAAGAATTATTATCAGTAAAAATAATCCTTTCCCAGAATTTATTTCTGTTTGTTTGTTTCCATTATTTCTCTCAAACTAGCAAAAGCTTTACATCTATCTGATGGGCCAATTACTTACCAGATGTCACTTAGAAAAATAATATAATTTCAATGTAAAAACTTCGACAGGAGGATCTTAATTCACTCACCTGTCAACTTTGAAGACTAAAGTTGGGCTGAAGTCATAAGGAAAATGAATGTGGTGATATTTGGTGAGAAGCAAGAGACCACTGATATTTGACATCATATACCCTCTCTACACACTCAACATGCATCATTTGAAAGCTTATTAAGATGAGTTAGGCTATGAAGCTGTCAAGTGGCACCGTTATCATAGGAATGAGAATACACTGCGACGCGATATACATGTTAAAATGACCCCTTTGAAATATTTGTATTTGTTTCTAGTAGATGATGACTCTATCCAAGACATAAAATTGGATTTTTTTTGTGACCTCAAAGCATCACAATAGCAATCTAAAGGGTAAAACAAAACAGAATAATAAATTTGTATAGAGCACTCATGGCCTCAGTTGCAAAAATCAAGCCATGTAGAACACAGCTGAATTGCTTACTAGCAAGCGTTCAATTTTCAGTACTCACTGCACACACATCAGAAGCAACAAGACAACACAGATACAAATCATATTGGTACCAAATTCATTGGAGAGAGCACATTTCACTTCCCAAGTAATACCCTATAGCTGCGGGTCATTGGTGCGAAAGGCATACTGCTATCCTAGAGCAGTTGACATTTCCTTACATTTCAGCAGATTCTGGCCCTGTTGACTATCTTGGCTTCCACAATAGATGCATATGTAACTACTGTGTAGGTTCTTTTCTTTGTTGCAAGCCTGTGTTTGAAACCAGTCCAAAAAGGAATCAGCTGAGCATAAAAATTTCAACATGATTTGGTATTGGCAGAACACCAGGAAAAGTCTCAGACAGGATTCACTAGCAGGAAACAGTACTTCTTCCATGGCAAGTTGGCTCTGGATGTGTCCTAGTTTTCCCAAGACCGCGCATGCAGCATCAGAGACCCTGATTACCCAAGAAGACTATGTGACTTTCTGTCCCACATTTCAGTGATAGATCCTCTGATCAGTAACTTCTGTGTTGAGGTCTGTACTATCACTATCATCTCCTTGGGTGAGAGTTCCATGAGTATGAAGTAATTCAATTGCATGTGGAATGAGCACACCTCACTGGCATCTTTCTATTTTTTTTTCCAGCATTAGTGATGAATGGCCTTAGGACACCATCACTGATGCAGAATCGTTGATGGCGTTGTACGTCAATTAAATTATGTGACCCAAACACAAGTGTAGCAAGGCTTGTATGTAGTGGTGTGATCATTTTGGAACACGGTTAAATACTATGCACTGTGCAACTGTGAGGCAATTCCCTTGTTTCTCTGAGGTCTGACACTAGCTGCTGCCTGAGTTATATGCCTCTTTATCTAGCAACCCAAGGACAAAATCCTGCACTCACTGGAATACAAATATAGCTAACATCAAAACTGCTACAGCTTTGGATAATATTCTGAGGGTTTCATTTTGGCTATTTCCGACAGAAGGACTGAAGTAGCATTTGCAAAACCACTTGTTCATTTGAAAGCTGTTCATCAGACTCACTCACCAGAAGAGCATCCACAAAACTTTTGGATGGTTTATGTTTCTGTTTCAGATTAGGAGCAGCTTGGATACCATCAGCTAATGTCATTGTGCTGCACAGAATAATGGAAGACTTGCCTTGTCCATGCTGTGCATGGAATGAATCTGTAAAATCACAATGCTTTTGCCAGCCTTGTCTATAATTTGCTACTTCAAGTAGACCTAAGTAGCAGCTTGTCCAGAAGAGTCTTCTTGTTTTACACAATATCATTCTCTCTCTCTTTGGTCTTCTGATAAAATTCAGTGTAATTAGATGGTTTTGCTTTAAGATTATATTATATAAATAGAAAGAAAGGCATGTTGAGTGATACACTGCATCCTTAGCAATCAAGCCCTCCACGCATATTCTGTGCAACATGTCATCTCCTCTTTGGAGTGCTGCCTCCTGTAGATTGCTCTCGCAAATTTTTCTAATTTACAAAATTTCTTGTTTTTCTTGTGTGTTTCTCTCAAGCAAACAATGCACTAGGATCCAACACTGGAGCATGTGTTTACTCTGGGGGCCGTAGAAGCATATGAACGTTTCTCTCTGAGCAGATTCAGCGTCTATTTTCTTTCCTGGGCTCAGAAAATGGTGCCAAAAGTTTATATGCTTTTGGTTTTTTCCTAAAGCAGCTGTGGTAATAGACTATTGGTGGCACATTATCTAAACTAGAAAACTCATCCAGTCACCACCAATACATTTAATCTTTCCTAACTTCTTTGCTGAAAGCATCACAGAATTCTGTTCAACACTGGTGGCTTCTTAGAATTTTGCTTTCTTTTGATTGTTTAATAAATAGAACAACTTTTTCAAAGTTTGTGGGGAGTCTCATTCTATGACATAAGCTTTAAGCCCTCCATGTCTTCATATATTGCCTTGTGCAGGTAAAATTCCCAAAGTATTGTTAGCCTTATCAAAACCACTGCCACCATTTTCCATTGTGCAGACATGTACAAACTTGTGCTAAATTAGGCACACATTACATCTATATTAGTATCAAAATTGCCATTTGTTTAATAAGCACTTGATGAAACCCCTGCATGAAGTTGTGTATTTCCATATCTAACATTAATACTAACCTGTGTATAATTAAATTAAAAAGATAGATTCTAGAATATTTCAATGGCTTGTACTACATGCATAGGCAATTACAAATTAAAAACTACCAGGCAGACAAGATGTAATGCCTCTCCTTTTGTACGCTTTTGAACTTACAGAAGCATTGCATTAGGAATTCATATGCATTTTTATCTATCCATTGTAGTATAAACCATTGGCACATAATCTACTACTACCTGTGCCCAGCCTTCAGCATGACGCAGATCAGGTCATCGAATCTGAATAGAAAATATAGGAAATTATTATAATCACTTGTGAGATGCTTTGACAATTAAGAATGTGTGACACAAAAAACATTTCATGTTAGTATATTGCAATATGTTGATAGTCGCCCTTTCTGTCACATGCTAAACAGTATCACAAGGGTAGCCGTGTTAGTCTGGATCTGCAAAAGTGACATCTAATTAAGTGGGTCTTTGCCCACGAAAGCTTATGCTCCAATACATATGTTAGTCTATAAGGTGCCACAGGACTCCTTGTCGCTTATGCTAAACAGCATCATCATTTCTGAAAAGAAAAAGAAGAGGACACGCAAAACCACTAAATTTCTCAATATACTCTCATTTGGTAGCTTTGACCAATACACATTAAGCTGTTGAAATTAACTTAACAGTAAAAACTGTAGGTTTCTGGAACTGTGCAAAAAAGGACACTCATTTTGGGTACTATTGTTTAATTTCACCTTCAGTTTAAGGCACCACTTGACAGCTCTATATCATACTTATCTAAACACACCAAAACTAAATTTTTCAATGGTATTTCATGAGGAGGGTGTACATTAAACTCCAAAAATATGTTCCATTTTGGAGAATTGCTGCTTACCTATATCATCTCATGTATCTGTCACCATTGTACCACAGCACACAACCACAAGACAATGTGCCTCAACAAGTAGCCTCTGCTCAAGAGAACCACACGACTGAAACAATGGAAGGTTGTGTGGTTCCAACTATCACACACCCCTACGATCAGTCCTATACATCGCTCCTTCATCATGCTCACAGGGTATTTGTTCTCTTTAGCTTTGTGCAGCTACTGTATATTAAACTATTTTTAGAATTATCTTTAGCAACAGCTCAGAATAAAACTGGAACTCATATGGAAAAGCACTATAGAATTTACTGCTGATGACAGCAGTTGGATTCTAGAGAGATCTAATAGGCTATCATTCACTATTCATTTCTTTTCCCATGTTTCCTGAGCCATTCTACAACTGGGAATAGAATTTTTGATTAAACTCTTTTGTACTTTCCAATGAGGGAAGTATACTCACAGGAAGCTGAGGCAGTGGGATTTGGATTCAGTCACAGATTTGGAATGTGGCACCTGTTTATAACATAACCTTGCTAAAATGTTCAGTTAGTTTAGAAAGAAGATCCAATTAAATTCTAAATGAATGTTCTGATATTTACTGTGCCAGAAGCTGTCTGGTATTTGGCCAGATAAGAAACTATAATTGTCAAAGGCCTCAAATGAGGCCTATTGAGGGTCATGCATCACTTAACTATCAAAGATATTTCAGTGCTCTGGAAATAGAAAGGCTTCAAACATTTTATTTATTTATTAGGAAGCATTCCCATCTTCCACATTTCAAAAGCCATGTTTGCATTAATTCTGTCAGCTCAAACAAACCTATCAATGATAGAATATAATGGATTAATCAATAAAATTAAAATATCCCAAAAATATTATAGACAAAAATTGTAATAGATTAAACATTATATGCAATAGTGACACTACAAACCTGTGTTATGTGGGGTGTTCCATTACTAATTAGTTTCCAATGAGTTCCCATTAATCCTATTTATTATGTATACAGTTTAATCTAGATTAAATCTGACTATTAAAGAGCATTGTGAGAGGTTTGCATAATATTTGTTTGGGGACAAAGACATTCTTAAAGGCTGCCTCAGCTACAGTAAACACAGCTGTGATGTACGGCTTTATTTTGCTCAGAAAGTTTCTCTTGTTTTGCCTTTGTAGATAATGGGATCCCAGGGTAACCTCTCCACTAAAATAGAAGAGCAAACAACAGAAAAAATCCGAGACATCACTAGTAGCTTCCACAAGTACATGGAAAATGTGATGAAACAACTTTTGAACATGGTATTTGACATCAAGCCTGAAATCCACTCAAACTACAGAGGCACAGTTTAAATCCCATTATGTGTGCATGTATCAACAGAAGTCACACTGTTTTCCTGGTAATCCAAATCATCTTCTCCTTTATTGGATTGTCTGAATGTGAAGGAGATCACTAAGCCCAAAGTACATAGCCACACACAATATTTTTTATGTAACAAAATTCTGCAAGGTTCCACAAGCATTTGATGGAAAGGATTTGTTTTTCCTATTGATATAATAACTATCATTTATTTAAACAGTCATTTAAACAGTGGCAAGTCAATAGAAGCAGAATGAATAATTATTTGACAACGACAGCTTTTTAGTGGGTGTCTATTCTCTTTCTTATATAAACTGTTCTGTACAACCCGGGGCATTATATAAAATGCTATGTACTACCTCTGTACAACTGGGGTGTTGTATGAAATAATTTGTCCCGATTCTTAGTGCATTAAAAATTATCAGATATGTGATAGTTTTATTTTACTTAAAATTAAAGAGCTTCTCTCTTGTTTTGAGGAAACAGAGTGTTCATTATGGTCCATATAGGGGTAAGCAGTTTCAGTTTCCTGTATGCATTTGCAATTACTTGTCTAGAATAATAACAAAACCACAATTCAGACTTGGAGGGTGACCAACACAATAACAACATTGCATGCAATAACACAGTTCATCTATCCACAGTGGTGGCTCTTTGTAATTGGAAAAATGTAAATGTCACTCTCAAAGAATTGTTGCACTGTTAAATAGCACCATATATCCTATAGATTTTGATTTAGGGCTGAAATCAATATTAATGATTTGTACTACTAATAAAATTGCTTTAGCTCAAGATACTCTATTGTGTATCTGTCATCTATTTTATATACATTAAAGCAAACAAATGAGTAGGCTGATTTCTGTGGTCTTTATATTGAATAGTAACTAAATCCATGAGGCGTTTCACTGAAGTCAAATTGCTTAGGGACACCAGATCCTGTAACTTTTACTATGGGCCAGATTCTTCTGACTTTACTCACTTTGATTCCTCAGATTACTCCACTAAATCAATGGAGCTAAGTACAACTCAAGGTGAGAGTAGCAGAATCTGGCCCATCCTGATCTAGCCCATTAGAAGTCATTGGAAAGACTCCCATTAACTTCAACAGGATTTGGATCAGGCCCTATGTCACGAGCCCCAGTTGAAGGCTTGTTTTCGTTCGAAACTTACATCAAGTTAGAGCATAGAATCATAAAATATTAGAACTGGAAGGGACCTCAAATGATAATCAAACAACTTTAAGGCCCCAACAAGGAGCATAACCTTAAGGAGTTGCAATAAGTAGCAAAACAATTACCATGCTATGTTTAGTCCATGTAGACTAAAAGAAGTTGTGTTCCACTTCTTGTCAATGGGTGATAGGCAAATCCTTGTTCCAGTTAGGTTTCATGGCATTCAGTCCCTAGGTGCCATGGCATTCAGGGACTGTACTAGCATAGTAAACTGTATCAGTTAACATAACTCCTCTTTGCAACTCCTTAAGAATGGTATCCTCATTCTATATTATCAGCTAGTGAAAACAAGTACTGATTATTTCATTTTCTGTGGTTACTTATACATATGCAAGTATACTGCAGAGATGAAAATTTATATCTGTTTTGAATTCCACACGTAGGGCATGTCTACACTAGGACATTACTTTGAAATAACTCAATTTGAAATAATAGCTCCCAAAATAACTATATCAAAATAAGCTTATTCCCCAAGGAAAGCTGGAGTTATTATTTCGAAATAACCAGCCTGTTACTTCGAAATAACGGGCTTGGTAGTATGGACACTATGCTTATTAATTCAAAATAAGGGGAGGGGATTCTTTCAAAATAACTCCCCAGTGTAGACTAGGACTATAGCTACGTCTACACTTCAAGCTTCTTTTGGAAAAGCTTATTTTGAAAGAGAGCATCCACACAGCAAAAGCACAATGAAATAGCGTTGATTTGCTAACGAAGATTTGCTGTTTTGAAAGTTAGCATCCACATGGATTAGATATTATCTCACATTTAAGGCCACCTGGAACCAGTTCAGCCAGGGCATTAGGTCAGCAGTTGCTTCTGGGTGCTGTTGCCTAAGGCTAGCTGAGACACATGCTTAAAGGGACCCCCCTGGACAGCCGTTTCTCTGCTTCTACTGCTTGCTTACCTACCTCTCTGAGGGACAGCAAAGCTTCAGCAGTGTGTGCTCTGATTACCCAGCTTTTGGACACCACAGCACACTCCTTACCATGGAGCTGGAGCTGCCTCTGGGCATGTGATGGCCCCACACTGCCATGCTGCAGTTTCTGCAGCACTTTGCGCAGCCTGACTTCATAGTCCTGCATGAGTTTGACACCAACCTCATCAGCAAGACTCTCTGCCTGACTGCGGGAGCAAGACCCTGGCAACCATACCTCCCGATGAAGAGATGATTTTGGAGCCTGGCTACCAGTTCCAACAGGTGGGACCAGCTGGTGATGGAGCTGTGGGACGACCAGCAGTGGCTGCAAAACTTCAAGATGAGGAAGGCCACTTTCATGGAGCTGTGTGCCTGGCTCCCCCTTGCCCTCCATTGACAGACCACCCAGATGCAACCCACTACTCCCCTGGAGAACTGGGTCGCCATCACTGTCTGGAAGCTCACCACCCCAGGCAGCTATCAGTCTGTGGGCAAACAGTTTAGCATGGGGAAGTCCATCATCATGGAGGTAAGGCACTCTCAGGCTGCAGTCCCTGCAGGGAGGGGAAGGACAGGGTTGGATAAAGGAGACCGTCGGTAGAGGGGGGGATGAAAGGAAAGCCCCTTCCCCATGGGCTTGTGCCATCCCGCCCTCACACAGCTGTGCTACTGGGGGGTGGCCTCATAGGAGGTGACTCCTGAGGTGTTTGGGAGGGCTAGGGAGGGAAGCAGGGTGGACACCTCTCAAGGGCTCAGGCACCCCCTCTCTCATTCTCTGTTTTGTGTGTGTCTCCTTCTGCAGGTGGTGCGGACCATAAACTCCATCCTTCTTTGCAGGAACATCTGTCTGGGAGACATGGAACCTATCATGGCTGGATTTGCCACCCTGGGGTTCACCAATTGCGGGGAGCCATAGATGGAACCCATATCCCCATCCGAGCACCAGAATATCGAGCCGTCCAGTACATTAACCACCAGGGCTATTTCTTGATGGTGCTGCAGGCCCTAGTCGACTGCCATGGACAGTTCATGGACACTTTTGTCAGGTGGTCAGGGAGGGCACATGATTCCTGCATTTTGAGAAATTCCAGCCTCTACAAGAAGCTCGAGGATGGCACATTCTTCCTCCAGCATGACTTTCGGGTCGGGGACATGCAGATGTGTATCATGGAGGACACGGACTATCCCCTGATGCCATGGCTCATGAAGCTGTACACTGGCCATCTGCAACCTAGCAAGGACCAATTCAATGCCCGCAAGATGGTGGAATGCACCTTCAGGGGATAGGCAGGAGGGGAGGTTGGAGTGGGGTCAGGCATGGCAGGGGGAGGGGGCATAGGCATGGCAGGAGGAGGGAGAACTGGCATAGGGAGGGCAGGGAGAGCAGAGGCAGTAGCAGGGACAAGAGCTGGGTGTGCCATCATCTCCCGCAGGGTGGCACACATGTTTTGTCCCTGCTGCACCAGCTGAGCCCACATTTGGGTCCACCACTGAGCATCCTCCTGGACCTTCTGGGCCAGGGTCTATTGCACGTCTCAGAGGATGACCATGTGCTCCCTCATTAAGGTCCTTTTGGACTCTCTGGTGCCTGCAGATCCCCCGGAGTTGGGCAGTTGGCTCTGCTGGCGGTGATCACCCCTCAGTGACGGCTGGTCTGGCTATAGAGAATAAAGAGGGAGAGGCGGTCAGTTATCCGTGCAGATACTGTCCCTGAGCCCTTGCCCTCCTTTGTGAGCTGCAAGCAACCGTCCTCAGGCCAGAGGACAGTGATGTCCCAGTTGCAGGGCCAGCTTTTTTGGAAAAGGCATTCTGCCTCTTTATTCCAAGAAATAGGTGTATCACCATCAGAAAAACCCCTCCGATCTTTTGACTTTTTGTCAAAAGAACACAATAGCAGTGTGGACACAAGTAGGCTACGTCTACACTGGCACCTTTATCCGGAAATGCTTAAAATGGAACAGTTTTCCGTTATAAGTATTTCCGGAAAAAGCGCATCTACATTGGCAGGATGCTTTTCCGGAAAAGCACTTTTTCTGGAAAAGCGTCCGTGGCCAATGTAGACGCGCTTTTCTGGAAAAAAGCCCCGATCGTCATTTTCGCGATTGGGGCTTTTTTGAGGAAAAGACTACTGTGCTGTCTACACTGGCCCTTTTCCGGAACAGTTTTTCCGGAAAAGGACTTTTCCCCGAATGGGAGCAGCATAGTTTTTCCGGAAAAACACTGACAATTTTACAGTAGATCGTCATTGCTTTTCCGGAAAAGCAAGCGACCAATGTAGACAGCTCGCAGCTTATTCCGGAAAAGCGGCTGCTTTTCCGGAATAAGTGGCCCAGTGTAGACACAGCCGTATTGTTTTTCCAGAATAACACTTGTTATTCCGGAAAAGTGGTGCAGCATAGACATACCCTAAGAGTACTGGGTATTGAGGAAAATATTGTGTTAGCAGCTGCTAACAGAGCACTTATTCTGATGTTTCAAAATGAATGACGATATCTTGTGAGTTAAAACAATTCAGATAAAAACGGTGCAAGATAATTTTCAGGGAAAATGGTGCAAGACAATTTCTTGTAATGGTTGCAATCTAAAAGTGTAGAATAATTGTTTTCAGGAAACTTTACAACTTTTAAGACAAAAGACTATCTTCTGATTTCAGTGACTCTGGTGTAAGGCCAACATATGTACCATTATTTTAACAGAGGTATTCTAAATATAAACTGGATTAACTGAATCTGGTTTACAATGTAGCGGATAACAAGCTTAATTGTACAACTCTAGACTACTGGGGACATTTTTCTCTTCTGAAGTAGAACCTGATTCAAAGCCCAATAAAGTAAATGAAATCGGGTTCCTAAAGATCAATCATGAAGCATGTAGATCGGTTTTTTTAAGTGCATTTCAGTGGTACTTTGTAAAGTGAACCTTCTCTTCAGGGAAATGCCTAAATGAACCTAAATGTCTCCCATGCAACCGTACGCATTGTCAACAAGGCACAAGTGCACATCACAGAACAAGCAAACAATGATTTCAGTTTTAAGAGCCCCACAGCTGTGTGGGATGTGGCAACAGTTCAGATTGCATCATGCTCCCTCCCGCACAAGAACCAAGTATGCACCTGTTCTGAGAAATCTATTGAAGTGTTTTCTGAGTATCTCTGTATAATTACAAAAGTGATAAAGGTGCTGCCATAGGGGAGAAGAATGAGTAAAAGTAAATAAGATTTAGGTGGATTGAGTAGGCCTTGGAGGTACAGATGTATGGTGAGATGACCCAAGAGGTAAGCATGCATGAATCCTGCAGATGTTTTGAGGTGGGACATCAATGGCGTAGCAAAATTACATGTTCTCCTCATGCCCTGCCTCTCCCTCTACTACTCCGCTTGTGGCTATGCTGATGTTATGAAGACAGGGGAACAAAAGTTAATTTTTTTTTAAATCATTACATTTGTTCTCCACATCCATTTGTGATACATCTAGCCACTTGTGTCCAGGTTCGGGATCTCAAATTGAGAATCTCTGCTAGGCTCACATGAACAGCCACTCTTCTCTCACTGATATTTGCCCTCAAGTTCATGGCTTTTTAGCTTCCTCTCAGGAAGCCCTCATATCCCTCTCCACTCGAACGATGCACCTTCTAAAAATAAACGTAGAGATTTTTCAGTGGTACAGACTCAAACGCAGAA